TTTCAGGTCATGCAACACCTCCTGTTATTTTCTTTTTGCTCAGGATAGCTTTGACTATTAAGGTTTTTTGTTCTCATATAAAACCTAAAACTACTTTTTCTAGTTATGTAAAGAATATCATTGATTTTTTATATTTATTTTTTAGTATAGTTGAACATAATACCTTTATTTTATTTATTTGTTTTTCTGTGGTGCTGAGGATCAAAGCCAGGGCATCACACATGCTAGGTGAGTGCTCTACCACTGAGCCACAACCCCAGCCCCATGTCATTGATATTTTGATAGGGATTGCACTAAATCCATAGATCTCTTGGGGCAAGATGGACATTTTAACAATATCAATTATTCCAATGCATGAACAGGGTATACCATCACACTTTTTGTATGTCATCTTCAATTTCTTTTATCAATTTTCATAAGTTTTTTATGATTTTTTATATAGAAATAGTTCACATTTTGGGTTATATTTATTCATAGGTCTTTTATTTAATCATTTTTGGCTATTATAAATAGTATTGTTTCCTTGATTTCTAATTTATATAATTCACTATTTGCATACAATGCTACTGATGTTTATTTGATGATTCTGTATCTTGCAACTTGCTAAATTTATTTACTAGTTCTAGTAGGGTTTTTTGGTGGAGTTTTGGGGGTCTTCTATATATAAGATCATGTAATATGCAAGGAGAACAAATTCAATTTCCCTTCCTCCACAGAAGTGGCCAGATACCTTTTCCTAAAGTCAATTGAGACTCTATTTTCTTCCACTGATCTATGTGTCTCCTACTTAACTATTCCTACCTCAAAGTTTTCAACATTCACATTATTTTTTCCAATGATTTCTCATATGTACATATTCTTTTCTCACTTGGCTTGGCCCACAAATGTTCTTTAATTTGTTGCATGATCATTGTGCATACATATGGAATACATGCAGAGTGATGTTTCACTACGTGCATTGACCGTAAAATGAACAGATCATGATAATTGACATAACCTTTACCTCAAGCATTTATCATTTCTTTGTGTTTGGAACATTCAATATTTGCTCTATCAGCCATTTGAAATTATGATTAATTGTTGTATTCATCCTACTGTGTTGCAGAACATTAGAAAATATTCCTGCTACCCAACTTCTATTCTATGAGACCAACTTTTTTCTACAAGATATTTTGCTATTTACTGCTATTAACCTTAAAATCAACTTTGTTATAAATGCTCTCTTCATTTCTTGCCATAATATACTTTTTCTTACATTGTTACTTATGTTAAACAAATTCGTCCTACCATTCTTCTAGGATTATGACTTTTTAGTTTTGAATTTTTATTTTGATTAACTTTTTGGTAGATTTGAAAAAGAAATGGTTCATGGATGCTATATTTATTATATTCTCATGTATTTTAGACGGTTCTTTTGTATATGTGTTTACACCTAAAGTGTAAATTCACTAGATAAGAAATTTTGTGGATGTGCTTTGCCATTGAAATATCATTTTCCAAACCACCTGTGGAATAATCTTTGTGAAGATTGTCTACTCCATCTTTCCTTCACCTCTCACATATCATCTCCTCCTTGATGCTTATAGAATTATTCCTCCAAACCTCCAGTTCAATCATTTCAAACTATATTTAAAATTCTATCTTTCTATCTTTCTTCATTTCAAGAGCATTTTCTACTATTATACCTTGGGATAATATTTTTGTTCCCTTTTTTCCTCCATTTAGACCAATAATTTTTTTCAGGAGGTTTTAAATTTTTTTACACTCCAATTGATAAAAACTAAGATGATAATTATCCTTTTATTAACTCAAGTGAAAACAGAATTTAAAATATTATGTTTCTATAAATATTATCACTGAAGAAGTGAGGTGTATGTATGACTGA